CCTAAGGAAAGAAGGTCCCCTCTTTTTCCCTTGTCAGATGGAAGTGCCCTACCTCTTAAAGGTGAGGGGGCTGGGATGGTACCAGACTTTTCTGATAAGAGCAAACTCCCTCTTACTTGGTAATGCCGTGGTTATGAACTGGGTAAAGAGAAGCTTTTTGCTATTTTCTTCTGCAGGAAAGGGGACTCTTGCAGATTCTGTATCTGACATTACAACACTGACATGTGTTTGCTTCTCCCAGGTAGTGTCCCGTCTCTGGCTGCTGGACTCTTCTTTGGGAGCTTAGCAGGCCTGGGTGCTTACCAGATGTCTCAGGATCCCAGGAACGCATGGGTTTTCCTAGGTATGTCTGCTTTGGTGTCTGTTCAGGGAGGCGCTGCAACTGTAGTCTGCTTTGCCCCATGGCCCTGGTGGGTGGGATGTGGCAGGTACTTTTCACTGACAGTTCACACTCTGCTAAGGCATAGATATGTTTCACAGTGGAGAATCTGCTGGGTTCTGTTTCCCCTTAACATACAGTATAGAAAGACTTCATATTTATGAATTTTCATTTCCCACTGAGATTACTTTTAAACTTGACAGAGCAAGTGTGCGTTAACCATTGAAGTTTCATACTAAAGAGAATCTGCATGAAAATTACAAAAATATCATGGATCGCATTAGGTTTGCAGCCACATGACATTTTTCCCATTTGGAAACCACTTTCCTCTTTCCTAGTCAGTTAATTGTGTAAGACACAGCCTTGACTTGAGCTTCTGAGCTTTCTGGGGAGTCAGGTGATGTGAGTCTGTAGAACTGTAGATAAGTGTCTTGGGAGCAGCCCAGTGAGAGCAAAGAGAAGATGACTTCTTATCACGGTGGCTCTTCACATGGTTTTCTTTGGGCTTTCCCCATGTGTTAGACTTTGCCAAGAATGTGGCACCTCTGTGCCTCCTACACCCGCAGTGTGAGAGTAAGTGCAGGGCATGAGGGAAGGCAGACAGACGTGATCACAGAGCAGACTGCACACCAGCCGTAGAGCGGGAAGGGAAGTCAGCTGAGGGCAGGCTGAGATAGGAGGACGCTCTGGGCTCTCAGTTCTTCCCAACAGCTTCCTCAGTCATGCTCTGGAATGACTTGTAGACCACTTCTCCATCTCTGAGTCCACAGTCAGCTACTGAGTGGTGTTTCCCTTACAGCCATCGGCCTCCAAGCCACCTGTGCTGGATAGCTTTAGTGTCAACTTGACACACCTGGGTTGAGGGAGCCTCAGTTGAGGAATTTCCTCTATTGGACTGGCCTGTGGCCATGTTTGAGGGGTATCTTCACGAGGAATGGTGTGGGAGGACCCAGCCCACTGTGGGTGGTGCCACCCTGGGCAGGTGGACCTGTGTTGCATAAGAAAGCAGCCTGAGCAGGGGCCAGGGGAGCAAGCCAGTAAGCAGTGTTCCTCCATGGCCTGTGCTCCAGCTCCTGCTTCCAGGTTCCTGCCTTCAGCTTCTACCTTGGGCTCCCTGTTGAACTGTGACCTGGGAGATGTAAGCTGAATAAACCCTTTCCTCCCCAAGTTGGTAGTGGTCAGAGTGTTTTGTCACAGCAATGGAGAACAAACCAGAACACCACCCCTCCTCCCCTTTCCCTCCTCTTCAAGGCAGCCCCTTCGCCGGGGCTTTGGGTCTCTTCTCCCCACTAGCCCATGAGCTGTGGGCTGTCTAGGGTCCATCATTTATTTGTATTCCCCTGTAGGAGGATCCTTCCTGTTGATGCTCACATGACATGTGCTCAACTCTGACACATTTAGAAAAGAAAGGACTTGTGACCCACTTCCTTCTTCATTCAAGGCTCTATATTCTTCCTTTTTCCCCTTCCCTTTCAGAAACTGCTCTAAAAACCATCTCTACTCTTCTTCATTTCTTCCTTTCTCTCCGACATCATGGACCCACTTTAGTCTCCATCACTGTGTCCTTGGCCATGGAAATTGCTTCTCCCTGAGCTTCACAGTGACCCGTCTGGATACAAAACTCAGTGTTCATTTTCCATCCTTATTTTATGTGACCCGATAGTTTGTTCTCAGCACAGTTGACCGATGATTTTCTTTCTGGCTTTCCTTTTGTGTTTTCATTTCTATCTGTTGAATACTGAACTTCAGGCTCTTTCACTTGATCACTGAAGGTCACTCCTTATTTTCAATACTGAAATGATCACAAGTTTATCTCTCTTAGCTCACTCTCATGTATGCATTTGAAGTCTTCAGATGTTTCATTGTGTCTGCCTGGTCTACGTGCTGTCATATACATCCAGTCTTCACCCGAATGTGGGATGGGGTCTGGGCCTTAAAAGGTTTGGGACGTCTCTCTCGTCTCCCCTGTATGTCAGATGTAATGACTTTTTGATTTTGATCTTTCTCAGCCACGTCTGGGACTTTGGCTGGCATTATGGGAATGAGATTCTACAACTCCGGAAAATTTATGCCTGCGGGTTTAATTGCTGGTGCCAGGTACTTGACCTCCTGTTGTTCTTTTCCTGGACGGAATTTTGTTTATTGCTCAAGTCGCTTCATGAATTCAGAAATGTGCTTGCTCCAGTTTTCTGATCCTAGGCATTTTTATCTTTCTATACAAATATGAAAGACTACAAAAGTAGGAGCTGATTTAGTTCCTAAGAATATTCATTTCTTATAGATATCATTTGATTCTCAAATTTGCTCTGTGGTCCGTCCTCGCTCCTCTCTACACTGCCCGAAGCCTCCAGGCAAACCCTTGAGTGTGACTGTGTGTGGCTGTCAGTGTGAGCTCCTGGCTTTTTAGCATTTTTTACTGAAAATTTTGCTAAAAGGGAATTTTTGATTGAATCTAATTTTCTAGGTTGGATTGTAAAACTCAAACCAAATTGTATTAAGTTGACAAGTTCTTATGTATAATAAATACATTCTGGAGACAGGAGAATTAAAAGGAAAAATAGATCATGTTTGTATCTGTGGTATTCTTTTTTTTTTTTTTTCATCTTTTTGAGACATGGTCTCCCTGTAGCCACAGCTGGCCTAGTATTCATTATATAGACTTCCCTGGCCTTGAGACTTGAGATCACAGAGGTCTGCCTGCCTCTGCTTTCGGAGTGCTGGGATGAAAGGCATGCCACCACCACCCCTGGCTTTTTTTTCTTTTTGGAAACAGGGTCCACTCTGTAGCCCTGGCTGGCCTGGAACTTAGCTATGTAGACAGGCTGGTCTAGAACTCACAGAGCTCCACTGGCCTCTGCCTCCCAAGTGCTGGGATTAAGGGAATGCACCTCTATGCCCTGTTGATCCTACTCTTTGATACTTGAAACAGAACAGTCATTGTAGACCAAGGTCAGGAGCACTAACCTGCACCTCACTGCTCATTAACTCTGACCTGTGAGGCCATGATCTCACGTGCCCTCACTTTTCTAGGTTATTGTCATCGGGCTAGGAGCACCCATGTACCAAGGCAAGACTCGGCATGGCTTGTCAGTGGCTCCTCCCAGTAGGATATTCTCTTCCTGAGCTCTCTCCCTTAGAACTTCCCTTCCCATGCAGTTGTGAGGGACCTGCAGTCCTAGTCCCTTAAAAAAATAGTCACCATGGGCTGAAGAGGTAGATCAGCAGTTAAAAACATATACTATAAAGGACCTGAGTTTGGTTCCCAGCACCCACATCATGTGGCTCATAACCACCTGTATCTCCAGCCCCATGGGACCTGATGCCCTGGCCTTCAAGTGCACCTGAACTCATGTGCACATATCCACACACAGACACACACATAAATACACATAATCAAAAATAAGAAATATTTAAAAAAATTATCACCTGTTGGGTCCTTTTCCTGATGACTTGTTTGTGTTTCTTTTGAACAGTTTGCTGATGGTTGCCAAAGTTGGAATAAGTTTGTTGAGTTCACCACATCCGTAGTAGCCACATCCCAGCTTGGGCTCATGAAGAATTAAACATCTCCAAACTTCCACAGTTTTCAGTGTATGAAGAGAAGTACAGCACATTTGCAGATTCTGAGATTTTACAAAAAATAACACTGAACCGTGGTAAGGTGAACATGAGCCGACACTGCTCGAACCCTTCAGAGGTAGCTATAAAGTCTCGGGGTGAAGTGTGAAATGTCAACATTGGAGACCCCAAAGCTTCACGTCCTGTTCAGAACAGTGAACAGATCTCTTGGTGAGAGAGCATGAGGGATCTTTTGCTCACCCTAGAGTATAGGCCTGTTGGGAAATCATGTTAAAGTGACATATCGGTGGAAATAAAGTTGATTATAAATAACATTTTCTTGGTGTCGTCTTTGAGGTATCTGGAACAGAGCATGAAATGCCAACAGCAGGGCAGTGCAGAAATAGGAAAGGATTATGTTAACTTCATTTTTAGGGATGACTCATTTTGAATGATTTGATGACTAAGGAAGTTTATTAATTATTGAGTATACATCACCCAGAAACTTGTTTGAAAAATAGTTTGTAAACTGCCTGGATATGGTGGCACGTGCCTATAATCCCAGCATCTGGTATGTGGAGGCAGGAGGATCAGGAGTTCATGGTCATGTTTGGGTAAGTTAGAAGCTAGCCTGTGCTCCATGAAACTGTCTTAAAAAACTAAAACCCAAACTAAAATTAAACAAAACAGTTTGTGGGAATTTCTAAGATCAGACTATTGTGATAGAACAGCAACAGGCTTTCAAGTTACATTGATACTTAAGCTTCTTGAAAGCAGTCTTAGTTTTTTGGGACACAATCTCCCCTTGTAGCCTGAGCTAGCCTCACTATCCTGAGGTGCTTACTGTCCTGCCTCAGCCGTCTAAGTGCTGGGATTACAGGCATTTGCCAGTGCAACCAGCTCATCTTTTAGTTAGGTTTTGGGTACCTGCTATGTTCAGAACATAGATAGGCTATATCTTGCAAGATACTTTGACACAAATGTCTTTTTTAAATTTTTTTTTTTTTTTTTGATAGGATCCAACTCAGGCTGTCTTCAACCTGTTATGTACCTCAGGATGGCCTTCAACTCAATCCTCCTGCCTCCTGAGTGCTGGGATTATAGGTGTGTACTGTTGTGCTGGGACTTGATAGGGCCATTGTTGAATTATGATGGCTAGAATTCTGCAAGTGATCAGGGTACTATATTCTGGACCGTATGTTTCTATAATGTAGCCAGGATCAAAATAAGAGTTTGGATAACCCCATTGGAGTGCTGACTGACTTTCTTGTCTCTGGAGACCCCAGCTCTTTCATTTACTGCTCTAGATTGACAGAGTGGAAGGATTGGGGCTTGATGGCAGTCTCAATATTTTAATTAAATCTGAAATGAGTTCCCTGTGATAGTAATTACCTTCCATCACAAAGTTATACCAGATTCATGGTATAAATAATAAATCCATTTATAAACAGCCGAATGATGTGTAGTGGCTCCTTTGATAATCAGATTATTTTATTTTGAGACAAGATCTTACCATGTTGCCCAAGCCAGTCTTGAAAAGTTAAGCTCAAGTAATCCTCCTGTCTCAGCCTACAAGGTAGGTGGGAATATAGTCATGTACCAGTTCACAGCTTGAATACTGTTTGTAGCAATCAAACATAGAGCCTTGCTTGTACCAGGCAGGTGATCAGTTACTTAGCTACACCCTCAGTACTTGAATGCATTTTTCAGTGTTTAAAAGAACTTTTGGCTTTTTTGCTTTATTTTATTGGTACTGGTGAGCAAACCTGGGACTTTATGTATGTTAAGCACTCTACCACTGAACCACATCTCCAGTCTCAAATCAGATTATTTGGATTACATGCCACACCACCCTGAACAGATTCTCAAAGCAGTGGAGGTGCTGAATTTTAGACCAGTACCTCCAGAACTGTAAGCCAAAATAAACCTTGTTTTTTTTTTTTGTTTTTTTCTTTTTTTCTAAATTTAGGTCTTGAAGGGAAAAGAATCAGAAAACAAGGTAAAAAGGTTATTTTTTTATTATTTTGTGGTGCTGGGGATTGAATCCAGGGCTACATGCACGTCAGGTGAGCACTCTGCCACTGAGCTATGCCCCACTCCTGTTTTTACCTGTTGTGAGATAGGGTTTTGCCAAGTTGCCCAGGTTGGCTTTCAATTTGTTTTATAGTCCAGATAGGACATGAAATTCACATGCCACAGCCTCTTGACTAATAGAAATTTTAGGCTTGGTAGCCCAAGATGTCTGTCCTTTAGCAAGTGAATGGATAAATTGTGGCAGCTCTCTACAACAAAACATTATTTAGTGACAAACACAAATGAGCTATTAAGCTAAAATACATGTAGGAACTTTAAATGCATATTGCTAAGTGAAAGTAGCCAGTCTGAAAAAGTTTCATATTCTGTGATTACAGGACATTCTAGAAATATAATAATTAGCATGTACACCAATGCAAAAATATGGATTCTACGGGCTGAAAGTATAGCTCAGTGGTAGAGCACTTGCTTAGCATATGCAAAACCTTGAGTTCCATCCCCAGCACAAAAGTGGGGAGAAGAGGAGGGATGTGATGGAGGGAGAATGGAGAAGGAAGAGAGGTACCACAACAATGCAAGATGTTAAGAGACAAAATTGGGAGAGGATGAAGAGGTATAGGAATTCTTTATACTCTGTAAACCTAAAACTGCTTCAGAGAGGTTTAATTCAAACAACAACCCCCCAAAGGGCTCTGTATCCTACCACAGTGACCCCTGTACGTCTGTTTATTGATGCTATATTCACGATAGCAAGGAAAAAGAATCAGCCTAGATGTCCATCAACAGATGAATGGGTGATGAAAATGTGGTACACATATACAATGTGACATTATTCAGCTCTAGAGGAAAATAAAATGAAATTTGCAGGGAAATGGGTGGATCTAGAAAGTATAAGTGATATGATGCAAACTCAAAATGACAAAAAATGCATTTCCTCCCTCTTATGCAGATCCTAGCCTATGATCATCTATATATGTAAACAGGATCAAGTGTGGGTAAAGTCTAAAAATCTAGAAAGGAGACATGATAAGGAAGGATGGGAGGGGGTGGGCAGAAGGACATGTGAGACATGAAAGAGGAAAAGAGTGGTGGTGGGGCTGTAATGGGGGAGGACGGGTAGCAGGAGATAGGGAAGACGGAGGAAGAACCAAAATATATTTTGTTCAGAAATGTCATAATGACCCGACATGGTGGCAACACGCCTTAAATCCCAGCACTGGGGAGCCAGAGGCAGGCAGATCTCTGTGAGATCGAGACCAGCCTGGTCTACATAGCAAGTTCCAGGCCAGTTGGGACTACAGGAAGACCCTCTTTCAAAATATATACATAAACAAACAAACAACCACAACAAAAAATAGACTGCAAAGTATAAAGTTTAATAATATAAAAAACCCATACTAGTTAACCATATTTATTTAAATGCCTATTCAGAGTTCATGTTTCTCAGAAACACCAAGGGATTTTTATTAGCTTTGAGACATTAAAATTGTACAAATACATATAACCGTCACTAGGGTAAATTACTCTTTAGAGTGTAACATTTTAAACATACGAAATCTGAACAGCTGAATCTTCTATACAAAAATATATTATTTTATATTGTGCCTCTGGGTAATGCCCACAAGATGATACCAAGTGTATTAGCATTTATTACAGTCATAAATACATCAACATATCAGCAGTTGATAACATTAATATTCTTTCAAAAGAATATACAGTACTAATAATGTCCAGTCCACAGAGTAGACTAACTTCAAAAATGTCTATTTTAAAAAACAACTTAGAAATAAAACTAAAGAAAACATAGTATGTAAAACCCTGCTATGGCACCTGGGCGCGCTTACTCAGTGAAGGTCAGGGCAATCAGTGACCTGCAGCAGCAGTGAGATTGCCTGGGGACCGGCTGGCACACTCGGTCCTTGTGTCTGGTAGGAACACAGAAACAGGATTTGGAGAGGCAGAAGGACAAGCCTCAAACAAGGTTTCATGAACATTCTTAAGGATGGGATGAAAAGAGAGCCCTGATGTGGTTGATCTGAAGTCAGCAAGCTATGGAGTCTGACGGTCACCCTGAGTTCATAATTTGCTCAAGGTCCAACAACAGACTGCACTAAAGTCAGGGTGGCATAATTCTGATAATCTCTATATGCTAGAGATAGATTTGTTTCTAAGAAACACATTCTGACCAAAATTGGCATCAGCACTGAGGTCACAGCGCCAATGTAGAAAAACAAAGGGTAACTACAATCTGTGTGCCATTGCCAAGCTGGGAGAGCAGAAGAACCTGAGCCAACTCCGCCATGTGTCTGACAACCCAGGAGGCGGGCCTCACTGCTAACAGCAAATGGAGGCAAATCTCTCAGGCCCAGGACAGACCCTAGAGTGACAGGTGTTGAGTAGCTTGGGCCAATAAGCAGCAAATGAGTGAGACACTCTACGCACTCACTCCCTGGAGTCATTTTTAAGCTTATGTACTATTCACTTGTAGGTCAAATACTTCATACTTTGGCAAAGAGTTTATTCAATACTTCGTAGAGTCCTACCATATATCAGCACTGTGGGCAATGATTTTAAGAGACTGCATTGCATTTCTGAAAGAAAGAAAATGGGAGTTGGTTTGTGCTCTTGGAAGTACCCACTATTTCGTTTTTCTTCTGAAATTCAGTAGAAATAGACATCTGTAGGCATTTCCGAGGATCAAGGACTTGCATATTCTCTGCGGACCAGCACTCTGGGACTTCTCACCAGATGTCCTAGCGGTGCCCTCCGTACTTAGCCACCCAGTCTGTCCTCCCGTGCACTGAGGGGACGGGCTGTGTGCGGTTCACAATATTCAGAGTTTTTGCTGTGGGATTGTAAGTACGTCCTGAAAACTGGCCCTGGCCAGTTTTTGTGTTCTGATTCTGATATTCTGAAAGAAATCAGAATCAGAAATTAGAATTTTGTTCACTTGATTATCAAATTCAAAATAAGGCAATTCATCTTCATTTTGTGGGAGAACATTTGAAGTTATCTTTAAAAGCTGTGGAGCAAATGTGAAGGTTTAGATCTAGTTCAGATTCAGTTTCTGAGGTTTTGCTTTTTTATTTTATTTTTTTCTGAGACCAGGTCTTGCTATACAGCCCAGAATGGCCCTGAACTCACTATGTGGTTCAGACTGACCTAGAACTCAGGGTCCTCCTGTCTCTACCTTCCCAGTGCTGATTACAGGAGTTCACCGCCACACCTGGCCGAAGCAAAAATTCTAGTGGAACACTGTGTTGGCGCCAGTTTTCTGCGGTGTAAGGGCTGGCACTCCTGACCATTTTGGATGCTGCTATTTCTAGGATTTCTCATTTAGAAAGCTATGGGGTAAAATGACCAGGACATGTTCTAGGTTCTTCAGACAGTAAGTAATGTTCCTAGCTGTAATCTCACACTGTGGCTACATCTCAATGGTATTTAAAGGTGTGCCTAGAACTATGTAAAACTGGCTTCATGGAGCGACACATGAGGTTCCAGAATCTAATTTTCTAAACAATGAAACCTGCTTTCTAGAATTTAGATTTCTCTAATTTTCTTTTCTTTTTTTCCTCCCTCTCCCCCCTCATTCTTTCCTTCCTTTTTAGAACTGGGAATAGAAGCCAGGTGTCCTGCAGCTACACAAGTGCTGTACCAGTGACCACGCCCCAGCTTCAGAAACTTCGTTTTTTATTGGTCAAATCGTAACCCCTTAGTATTTTTTTTCTAATTTTTAAAAATTTTATGTGTATGAGTGTATTGCCTGAATGTATGTGAGTGCACCTGTGTTGTGCAGTGCCGTAAAGGTCAGAAGAGGGCTTCGGAGTCCCCTGGAACTGGAGTTAAGGACGGTTTGTAGCCGCCATGTGGCTGCTGGGAATCAAATCCAGGTCCTCTACAAGAGCAGTCAGTGCTCTTAACCACTGAGCCATCTCTCCAGTCCCGACAGTACTTTTTTTTTTTTTTTTTCAGTCTTTTTGAGACAGGGTCTCCTTGTAGCCCCAGCTGTCCTAGAACTCACTATGTAGACCAGGCTGGCCTTGAACTCACAGAGATCCACCTGCCTCTGCCTCCCAAGTGCTGGGACTACAGGCGTGCACCACCACGCCCGGCTCCAACAGTACTTTTTAAAGGAGCCCAAACCTTTAATCACAAGGTTTATTTTATTCATATACTTGATTGCTTAAAAATTTGTTAGAGACTTAAAATATGTTAGACATTTGTTATCTGAACAACTGATAAGCTAAAATTGCTTAAACATCTCAAATGAAGGCATCAATCATTTTCCAGGGAACTTTGATGTCTTTTTTAGTTCCTCATGTCATATTAAGCCAAGCTTCATGGCTGTTATAGCTGAGGCAAGATGCTGATCTTTCCATTTGTCTTTATCTTTTCACACTGTGCAGCCACTGATGCTATATGAGTAAACTGAGCATCAATACCAAGGTGCATCTGGCTGTTTGGTACCTTGCTGTGTTTGCTGGCATGGTTTCCTAGCTTCTCCTACATTTCGCTGTGATTCTGAGAGTGACAGAGGAAACCATGCCAGCCTATGGTCCTGACAGGCTGCTAACCTCAGCTTATGTGAGCAAAGCCCTGGGTCAGATTGGCACCCTGATGAATACAGTGTGTTTGGGGCTGGGAGGACACGTGCTGTCTCCTCAGTGGACTGTCATGTCACTTCATCCTGCCCTTACCAGACTCAAAGTCAAAATTATCAAATCCACTGTGAAAAAGCTACCTATCAAAGGGTGGGGCAGGGTCTAGAAGGGCCATGTTTTCCAGGGACAGACAGCCTGTCAGCTTTGAATGCTGTACTATGAAAAACTCAGACAGTGAGCTCACACAGGAGGCCTCCAGTCCAAATGGCACCATAGATACCACCAAATGGAGTACAGAGCCTGGGAGGGGACAGAGAGAGGGGGCAAGCTCAGGTGATGCAGGAGAGAAACACAGTTCTGAACTAATGAGTGAGAATTTGGGAGTAAGAAGTGAGGGGATTTGAATAAACAAAAAAGAAGCCAGTTTGCAGGTCAAGTTCTAGACGCTTCTTAGGGAAGCTGCTCAGCCCAATAAACTTTATTATTATTGTGTATGTATATCAGAGAGTGCGTGCGTGCGTGCGTGTGTGTGTGTGTGTGTGTGTGTGTGTGTGTGTGTGTGTGTGTGTTAATGGGGAGGGGAACCTTCCGTGTGTATGTGTGGAGGTTAGAGGACAACTTTCAGGAGTCTGTTCCCTCCTTCCAACTGTGTGGGTCTCAGGGATCCACTGAACCATCTCATTGGACTCAGCCCAATATTTTTAAAAATTTCTTAGAAGAAGAACTGATTCGGTCAAGAAGATGTTAATATTGAGATAGAGGATTCCTTTTCTAGAAATAACAGCACTTTGGGATTCAGGCACATTATATAAATATCCTAGGAGCTGACAACAGTGTCCTGGTTTCCCAGCAGGGCTAGAAGTACCTTTGTGCTTTTGGCTGGACTGTGCCCTATAGCCTGCAAACTCCCACCAGTGGGCACCAAGGCCTGCAATGCCTGCTGTGGCTTATTTTAAAAACTGCATTTGTCTCAAGAGGGGCATTCGACTCCTTGTAGAAAAACAAAAGGCACTGGCCTTTTAAGTGAGATACAACACTGTAAGACGGAGATCCCGGGATCATCCTGGGATCATCCCGGAATGCCTTCTGAATGAGTTAGGGCAGCTCTAAGAACTGTTTCCTTTGGACTGAAACATTTCCATCCTGGAGCTGGGTGGGAGGAAGCTCAGGAGACTGAGAAAACACTAACCTTACAAGACTCTGGAAGCTCTGGAAACTGACTCATGGTCCCTCCCTGAGGTGGTATAAGCAGTGAACAGTTGCTGGGAAGTGAGGAGGATGGTGAAGTGGCTGCCTGCAAGTTGTTTAGGGGACCTGGGTGATGCAGCTTTTGTGACTTGTCACCCACGGTGGCCTAGGGTTTTCAAAGGTAACCCAGGAAACTCACTGGCTCACCAAGTTTGATTTGGATGGAATCATTTCTTTGCTCTGATGCCCTCTCTATCTGGGGTAAAACAAACCCCCCAGGAAAAATCAAACAACAGTAGCTCTATGGCTCCTGTGGGTAGCTGTGTCTGGAGGCTGCTCCCCCGGGCTTGCTACTCTCAAAGCAGAGGCTGAGGAAGTGTTAGGGAACTGTTAGGGGGTTTGCAAGCAGAGACTAAAGTGGAAGGAATGAAGACATAAATTGGGTTTTTCCTTTCAAACCCTGAGGGTGGGGAAGGAGGGCAGGGAGGGAGACAATAAAGGAGAGGGGTTAGTCGAGTAAACACTGTAATGACCTGGTTTTATTTCTTGTGGGAAACTGGAAGACAGTGTTTTCCTAATGGTTTGCATGTACCACTTGAGAGGGAGTATGTTTACTTTGCTTTTTTACCTTTCCTCCTATCACCACCTGTACGAAAATCTGATAAGCAGAGTAAACGGGGAGGTGAAAAGTTAGAAAGCAATTTACTTTAAAAATGAAAACAGGAATATGAATGCTAATCTTGCAGAATAATTAATACATAAAAGCATTTAATGCCTTACAAAAATGTTCACTCTCAATTTCTAAGAGTACTCAGACAATAGAGTACTTCCAAACATGATTTTTGCTTTTATGTTAACTTTTTTTTTTTAGATTAAAATTGCTGGTAAGTTAATCCTAGCACTCGGGAGGCAGAGGCAGGCGGATCTCTGTGAGTTCAAGGCCAGCCTGGTCTGCATAGTGAGTTCCAGGACAGCTGGGGCTACAGGGAGACCCTGTCTCAAAAAGAACAACAACAAAAAATTGCTGGTAAGTCATGGTAAAGTCTGCTTACCATACTTGAGGCTTTCTAAAGTCACCCTTGTATATGATATGCTTACTTACATGGGTGTATTTTGTTAGCAGAAAAACAATGAACCAATTATTTTTATTGATAAGGCAAATGAGTAGCATTTAAGCAGTTTACTGTAGCAAGAAATAAAAAATGGCTGTTTCCCTGTGCTTTTTATATTTCCTGTTGCCGTCATGTATACTGTAAAAGAATTACAAATCAGAAGACCCTGGTTAGGACACATGGTGAGACTATTTGGGAGGTCAATTTAGACATTAAATAGCAAGGAAACTTGAACCAATTTTTGACTGTCTGCCTTAATTGTCATTTTCAGTGCTTCAATAAGATTATATAAAATAATTTAGAGAACATTCATAGTTAGATCTGGGAGACTCAGGTACCTTCAGTTCCTCTCTCTTCTCCCCTGTCTCTCTCTGCCTACTATGTATGTAGCCCAGGTAGATCCTTGAGCTCTTGATCCTCCTGCCTCAGCCTCCCAGGTGGTAGAGCTTACAGGTGTGCAACACTATGCCTGGCTTGTCACTCTTCAAGAGCATACCCCTGCACATGGCCGTCATACCTTGTGCTGCTGGAGCACAAGTCAACACCAATTAGCCATGACCCCGGAGGTGGAGGAATCAACCCTTGGACCATCTCATGCTGCTTCTCAGTGAAAGCCAGGTAGGAAACTGGGCCATTATGAATTCCTCTACTCTAAAACAGAACCATAGAGAAACCATTGCAGGATAGCTTAAACATAGATCAAGTGCTCATATTTATTAAGCTTTTGCTTTATGCCAAGTGCCAAGCAGAAAGCGCTATCGGCCTCTTCTCGTACCTCACTGTGTAACAAGACAGACTCTTTGGAAGTGAACCAGCTCTGTGTCTGCCCTGGCTCCAATAGTTCTGAGATGTTGGGTTCCTCATCTGTGAAGGACAGTCTCTACTCTCAGGCAAGAGTGAGCACCGAGCCCTCTGTACTGGGCCCCACAGACATCAACAAAGCCATTAGAGGCAAGCACTTCAAATCACTACATGTGCAAACCATATTTTTGAAAGACAACTACTGTGACCAAGACAGTTATACTGTGTTAATAATGTGAGACTAACTTAAAAGTCTTCACTCAAGAAAAGGGACTTTATAAACTTAGACAGGAAAAACCTCTTCTCTACTAAGAAATCTCAAATATTGTACCAAGAGGTTGTTCTTACCTGACGACGTTGCACCAAGAGGTGCTAAGTGAATCCTCTGGCCAGCTGACCCCACTTCTTTTTTGAGAAAGGAAGGCATATATCCTGTCTGATTGTAAGTAGTATAGTTTCCAAGATTTCCTAGTGACGTACCATAAAGTTTCACAGTTAGAAGGTGTACAGTTAAAGGTGCTGTAGGTTTACTTTGTATTAGTGCCTACTGTGTTCTAAGTACTATGCTATTCTGGTCACAGAAACTCTCATTCAGTCCCTAGAAAAACTCTTTCAGATGCACCAACTGTTGCACACTGTGTGGTTCTATAAGTGATTTGTCTAAGTCCCCACAGTTAGTAAAGGACTGAAGTGGGATCTGAACTCCAGGCATAAGGCATTTTGATAATACTAATTGGTTTTTTAAAAAAGATTTAATTTGTGCTCTGTGTGTGTGTGTGTGTGTTCTGCCAATGTGCGTATATCAGAAGAGATCCCCTGGAGCCAGTTATAACAGTTGTGAGCTGCTGGCCCTATATGGGTGTTAGGAACTTAACTCCTGTCCTCCAGAGGTTCAGGAAGCACTCTTAACTGCTAAACCACCTCCATAGCCCAATACCAGTTCTCAATGTGTCTAGGGGACAGGGAAGGCCCCATCCTTAAGTGTCCTCTGTGCCCTTTGTCATTTTGTAATGAGGTGATAAGTGAACTTATAAGATTTGTTTTGGGTACTGAATAAGATGTAGGGATGCTCTTTGCATAGAATCTGGCCTTCAATAAATGTTAGCTGCTGTCACCACTGTCATCATCATTGTCAATGTCACCATCATCACTCTTTAGCTAATGATCAATCTGAAGGCAGCACAGGATGGGTTGAAGGAGAATCTAAAGGCAGGAGGCCAGTCCTACAGGGACAGAGCAGGGAACTGGGTGGTTTATAGTATGGGGCTGTAGGAAGAGGGAGATTAACCTCCATGTGGTTTAGGTGACTGGATGGGATGCTTTAGACAGCAGGGTTGGGGGGGGCAGGAGAATAGGCTTGGGGGAAACACAGGTGCAGAGGGTATTCAGGTCAAGGTGAGGAAGCTGGCTTAGAGATGAGCAATGCTCAGGATCTGCTGGTCCTGCAGCTGTGGTTTGGAGGAGCCAGTGCAGAGGGACTGAGAAACAAGCAGGGTCCCAGAATAGACCCAAAGGAGTAACCACATTAAGAAAAAGGAAGGAACGGGGCTTTGTGAGGAGAGAGGCAGATGGTGGAAAAGGAGGGCATGGACGTGCAGGAAAGGTACGGTAAGAGGCAGAGGGGCCTGGCATGCTCAGCACGGCCCTGGGACATGGTCTGCAGGACACAGCAGGTGACATGTGACAGGCTTCAGCAAACCAGAGTGAGCTGGGAGACAAACCAGAGCACAAGTATGCTTCGGCGTTTGAGGAATGAGGCAGACTTGTTAGCCAGAGTGGACAGGGCCCTGATCGCTCTGGGAGTTTCAAAGACTTGGACAGCCAGCAGTTAAATGAAGCATTTTCCATAGGGTTCTTTGTCTTTCCTGGGACTGAACCCTTGAATGCTTGCTCTTAAAGCAACAAAGGTCTAAGAGCAACATTACTCATCTGACCCTAGAGGATGTCAGAGAGTGAGTATATGCTATGTCTGCACAACTTTTAACCATGATGTGTTTATGTTAGTATAGTGGCATACAGCAGCCTCTCCTCTCACCTCTAGTACTCATTGTGAATCACCCTTTACTTCAAAAGGCTGGCCTGGGAGTATAGAACTAAGGATGACCTTGAACTGCAAATCCTCCTGCTTCCATCCTCCCAAGTGCTAGAATTAGAAGGGTTTGCCATGACATCCAGTTTCTGCAGTGCTGGGCATTGAATCTACAGCTTCATGTCTGTTAGTTAGGCAAGCACTCTACCCAGTGAGCTATATCCCCCAGCCTCAAAAGACTTTTGGAAAGGAAGTTCAAAGTCATGATCACATTCAGTAGATGATTCAGAGTGTGTCTCTTGTTCAAATCTCCACAGCAAATGCTTTGACTACTGGATGACAGAATGCTGGGAAAAGTTATGTAGTAATATCCAAAGAAATATTATTTCTTCCATCTCATAGATGGAGAAACTGGCTTAAACAACTAGCTGAAAAAAAAAATAGTAACAAAATGGGAACATGAGAGACACTAAAAGCCATGCATTAGGCTGTCTTATTGCAGATTTTTTTTTAAGTCTTCTTAAATTATTTTGGCTTATTATTTGAAGTGTCTGTTTCCTATGGACTTTTTAGGCTGGAGTTAGTTGGCATTGTGGAAACTGCTGACATCAAACCCTTAGGAAATCCATCACTGTTAACCTAAGTTTTTTTTGTTTTTTTTTTAAATTGGTTGTTGAACTTAAGAATTTCAGAATTAAAAATATATTCTAGGAATATTGATCCTCCAAATGAGACATTATTCTTTAAATTATTTTCAATAGGATTATTTTTGTGATGTTTAGAAATTGCCATAATTATTTAAGAAGACAAGCACAGGGCTTTTTGAGAGCCACTCCTGAAGGAAGCTGCTCTTGGTGACATGGAATGCTGCTTCTATCAGCCCTGATCTAAAAGCAGGTCACCTTGGCCTTTCATGAGAGGATTAGAGTTAAAGCTTGGAAAGAAAACTAGATAAGCGAGTCAAAGAACCAGCTGGACTCATTCATGATGACCAGAAATTACCTTGTGGGTCCTCTAGTTTTTCAGGAAAACTTTCTTTGCATGATAGGTTTTCAATTGGTTTAATTATGCTTTCTTCTAAGAAAAGACGGGGCGGGGGGGGGGGGGAAGCGTGGCAGGGAGAGCGTTAGGGGGAAGCAGAGAGAAAAGTGAGTTAGAGATGATGGACAGGTCCAGAAAGAATCCTTAAAAGGAGAAATGTCTCCATCTGCTGTCACAGCTTTCATATGCTGCTGATTATAAATTCCCAAGACGCAGAGCTAGGGCATAGTTATCTGAGCTGATTTGTATAACTGGTGAGCTCTGTGAATATTACTTTTAAATAACTGAGACAAAATAAGTTAATTGTAGAGATGTGGTATCTAACATTTCATCCTTGTTAAACAGGCAAACTGAGTTCTTAGAGAGTCTGAAAACCTTGTAAAAAGTCTCTAAGATGGCTCCCAAGACCAACACATTTGTGTTTAAGATTCTACAAGGCCGAATGACCGAGTAGAGATTCCTGATTATGGAGACTTAGAATATTACAGATCCAGAGGCAGATTCTCTTGTGCTAGTTATAGTCCCTTTAAAAGCTTAGTCATTGCCCACCCCCAAGTCTTATCCAGCATCTTCTGGACTAACAAACCTTTAAAATGTATTCTTACCAGACCGTGGACTTCCACCAGTCCAAAAGCTAAGAATGTCATCAGATAGCATCTGAGACTTCTTGCAGAGCTTTTTCTGTCTACTTGTGATCCCCACCAATGTATCTGGTAAATGCCCTGGTGTATTGTTTTCTACTGTAATTAATAAAATGATAAGAAGCACTTCCACATGTTGTCAGAACACGTTGGCCAGGGGTACCTGAATTCATGTTCCCAGGCCATGGTCACTCATATGTGGCTTAAGGCGAAACCATGTTTTACTGCCTCTGAGATAAGAGCTGGGTTTCTCATCAACAAGGCCAAAGATGTCATGTCAGAGTGCTGTAGTAAACTGCTCACAGGCTATAACCACAATCATCAGACTTGTTTGACCCAATTCTACTCATGTTTATAGGACTCATTATATCACATACTTTTAAGTTCATATCTCAAAATTTTCATCATAAATTTCCCAGTTGCAAAGGATGTGATGCACTTTCTGGATTATGGTCATTATAGACATTAAAGAGAGCATTATACTCTCTTTTAAATGTAACCAATGTAGTCCAAACGTCGTGATGATATGATCATCAATATTGATGCACATGAGCAAGTATTCTTTTTCACAGGTGAAAATTTCACATTAATTTCCTTTTCCCCCTAAAATTATATTTCTATTTATACTTCAGCTCCTAGATTTTATCCAAATATAATTTTAGGCTTAAAAGTCTAAACTAATCACTCAAAAGCTGTGTAAATTGAAAAAAAACCATAGATTTCTGTAACCACAAGAAATACTTTTTCCTGAATTTTAAGTTATAAGAATTCATTGCATATAATTAATAAAAGATAAATATTACAAATTTTGATCACTAAACATGAAAAGTAAGCATTCTTGGAAGCACAGCTCTTAATGAGAAAGATAAGACTTTTCAAGTTGCTTATGTGTCAACAAGTGAATATTTGTGGCTGGAGCCCATGAGGTCCGGTAATAACTCTGTTCTTTTGTTCTGGTTTTCATTTTTAGAGGCAGAAGCACTGAGAAACCTTGTTAATGCAATATATTGCAAGAATCTTTTTGTTACTATTCTTTATACTCTAGATTTACAGACTAAAAATCATATAGTGATCTGGTAACAAAGATTTTTAATTGTCAGCAAACAGCTCAGTTGTTCCTCTTCTTTCAGTTTTCTGAAAGCTAAGATTTTGGGGGAGGGGGCGTGAGGTGACAGGTCTCTCTTAGCTGAGGCTGGACCCAAACTCTGGATCTTGCCAGCAACTTCCTGAGTGCTAGACCACCCAATTTTAACAATCTCAACACTGGCCTCAGCGTATCAAACTATTCCTACTGGCATGTTGGACAAGTTTACACTTGGGGCCAGCCAGCTTATCCAGCACAAAATCTCTTTTTTCTTTTATGAAGTAGGAGAAGTGAGGGGCATTTCACTGAGAAGCCAGATCCCTTTAGGAAAGACCCTGGATGGAAGATGAGGAGCCAACAACCTTTAAGTTATCTGTGCTCAAGAATTATTTGGATAATTTTGTATATTCCCCCTCCCCTGGTGCTACACAGTGCCGCTTGAGGATGGCAGCTATGGCATTTTTTTTTAATTTTATGTGTATGCGGGTATTGCCTGCATGTAGGTAAATGCACCCATGTCGTGCAATGCCCGCGGAGGACAGAAGAGGCTGTTGGATCCCCTGGAACTGGAGTTAGGACAGTTGTTAGCTGCCATGTGGGTGCTGGGATTCAAACCCAGGTCTTCTGCAAGAACAACCAGTGTTCTTAACCGCTGAGCCATCGCTCCAGCCCAAGCTATGGGTTTTTTTTTTTTTTCTGTCTTTTTGAAGCAGGGTCTCCATGTAGCCCCAGCTGTCCTGGAACTCACTATGTAGACCAGGCTGGTCACAGAGATCCGCTTGCCTCTGCCTCCCAAGTGCTGGGACTACAGGCGTGCGCCACCACGCCCAGCTACCCATGGCATTTTTAAAAGCAAACGTCTGTAAAGGGTAAACAACATACATTTATAGTTTATATATATTATGTTACCTGCATTACTCCTCTTGAAAGCAAGTTCTGCCCCCATGGGTCCCAGTGACTTAGGAAATAATTGATTATGCCAAGCGTATGAATTTATATCCTTCCCACGGGCTACGAAAGACACATTCTTGGGATTCACGCCTTAGAACAAAGCCGTCATTTCAAAGGTTATAATGTGATGGTGAACTTGAAGAAAAAATGTACATATCAAACAGACACTAATAGGCATTCTGTGGACAGGAGGTTAGGGATAAATTTAGGTTAAAATGTAGCAAACTTGTGCTCTTTCTAATAAACTTTAACATGATCCTGAATCCTTAGCTCAAACCTGGAATACCACTGAGCCTCAAAGGTCACCTGTCACAGGAATCACCAGACTAACTAACTTCCCTTATAAGACTATGGATTCAGCTTCTAATGAAATACTTCAAATGGAACAATAATAGGCTTTTTCGACAAATAAAGACTATGCAGTACATAAAGGCAGAGGGAGGCCTCTTGGGGACAACAGGACCAGCGGTGGGGGGGGTGTAGAAGAGTAATGAGGGGTAAGAACAAAACACAATGATATTCATGTATGCAAATGTCATAATTCACACTAACCAAGAACATGAATGGGATAAAAAGAAGGTGCAGCAGATTACAATTTTTCATATTAAGAAACTTTTAGTTCCTCAGCTTCACTTTTCTCTCCCAGTGATTTTACTAATAACACAGTGGGCCGCTATCAAATTTGTAGAGCCGAAATTGACGCCTACGAGGTCTACAAACAGATGTTACAAATCATTCTTGCTGAGAATACAGTCTCAACATTTTCTCTCCTCTGTCTTACTCCTCCTTCCCGAACAGACTTCTGAGATACGGAGATGATGGCTTACACTTTAGGAGACAGATGTGAAAGGCCAATCTTCAGAGGAACCCAGTGTCCTCCCACCGTGTTTAGAAAGCTGTGAATGGCCATGTCCACAAAACACAAAAAAGAAAAAGACTGTTTGCTCCACTTATCGGCCTCAATATATCTGTATGTATACTTGATGTTTTACATACTGGTTCCCTTTTAAGTTGAATTTAAAATCTTTCTTTAAAAATATTTTTACTATTGGGGTTGGAGGGATGGCTCAGTGGTTAAGAGCACTGGCTGCTCTTGCAGAGGACCTGAGTTGGATTCCCAGCACCTACATGGCAGCTAACAACTGTCTGTAACTCCAGATCCAGGGGAATCTGATGCCTTCTTCTGACCTCTATGGGCATTGCATCACACGGGTACACTTACATGCATGCAGACAATACGCGCACACACGAAGAGGAGGAGGAGGAGGAGGGGGAGGGGGAGGGGGAGGAGGAAGAGAAGAAATATTTTTATTACTTTTTTTTTTTTTTTGTTTTTTGGGAACAGGGTTTTCCTTTAGCTCCAGCTGTCCTGGACCTACCTGTGTAGACCAGGCTGGCCTTGAACTCACAGAGATCTGCCTGCCTCTGCCTCTCGAGTGCTGAGATTAAAGGTGTGCACCACCACGCCCAGCTATTACTTCTTTTGAGAGTTTAAAAATCTTTCTTTTAACTTGGAGTTAGAAGACAAAATGCTATTTGGAGCCAATGTCTGTCCAGACCTCCTCACACTCCAGACTCAATTCCCCATTTCCTGTAATTAGATGGATCCACGCAAGTGTTTAACAAGCATTGCAGGCTCAGCCTTGATTCTCTACCTCCACATCCCTGTCTTCTCCAAATCTTCCCATCGTCAGCTAGCGTCCCCCCCCACCCCCGTACCGCCTATTGCCAAGTCAAACCAGTTAGAAACCAACACAAATTCCTTGTGTTCTGAACTTGTAAAGACATATATGGTTTAGGAAACCATATTTTTTAAAATCCATATTTTGATTTTGATTTTTGATTGCTTTAGCACACTTTAGCACTGACCAGGTTGCAGCTTTGGTGAGGGGGCAGTACTTGGGGAAGCGGATTCACCATCATTTTGTGCTGTTTTCCATTTTTCTTTTCTTTCTCTTATTCTTTCTTTTCTGATGGTGCTGGGATAGAAGCTGGACCTGGGCATGTTACCAAGCGCTCTATCACTGAGCCGCATCCCAGCTCTCCGCTGTGCATCTCTAGAACAGACTTCCACCAGTGGCAGAGGCAGGAAGCTCAATCCCTGGTCAGCTGCTGCGGCTGCTGCCCCCCCTTTTTTCGCCGCCGCCAGAGTCCTGTGTTACACTTTAGTTTACTGCTGGCCTCTTTTCTGTGATTTCAAGGCGCCCAAACCTGATCTACCTATAGTCTGGTTAGCAGTAAACATTTCTATTGTTGTTTTCAATCGAAGTTGGACTTGAATCCCTAATCCTCCAGCCTCCACCTCCTGAACACTGGAATTAAGCAATAAACCTGTTTTCTCTACTAACCTGGAAGGTATCTTGATTGTTTCAAATAGTACTGTTTAGCCGTTGAAGCAGTTGAAAAGTCTGTATCTGATTTTAGGGAAACAGCATGTAAACTCCTGTTTTCCCCTGTTGAGTGGTTGGAGTCTGGGGGTCGAGACTCTGGAAGCCTTGAAAGTCAACACAAAGTCAATCGGAGCAGGAAAATCAGTAGCTCTCTGCCCCCTCACCCTCTACAGCCTTCTTCTGAGTCCTTCTAACAGCTTCCCGTTGCCTCTCGCAGCACCGGCGGGCACTCATTTCTGATAGACATGTGACAGCAGCTCTACAGCAGCTCACTGAGGTGCGGTCAGCTTTGCCCTCCCAGGAACGGCTGCAGTAGTGGGTTCATGCTGTGAGAAGACCCCCATGTGGGAAGGGAAGCAGCCCAGCCACCTCTGCCTAAAGTAACCTCCGTTTAGGCCGGATGTTTGGGGTATGCCCTGGCTACCCACTCTGGGGTAGGGCTGCTTTATTGTGAATGGGTCATTGTTTCTGAATTCTTGGTGCTGTTTTTTTTTTTTTTTTTTTTTTTAACTAACAGAAGTTCTACCCATTCTGTCCCTTTCTCATGACAGCTGGAGTTGAACCCAGGGCCTTGTGCGTTCAAGGCAAGCACTCTACACTGAGCTACACTCTCAGCTCCTTTTTCATTTTGAGACCAGATGCCCCTAAACTGCCCAGATTCTCATCCTCCTGGAATTACAGCCTGTGTCACATGAAGCCTGACTCATGTGTGTGTGTGTGCATGCCATTATGATTTTAAGATACAGCTTCTTTTTTTTTGGTCTTTTTGAAACAGGGTCTCCCTGTAACTGGCCTGGCTGCTATGGAGACCAGGCTGGTCTTGAACTCACAGAGATCCACCTGCCTCTGTCTCCTGAATGCTGGGACTAAAGGCGTGCACCACCACACCTAGCTTAAGACAGGGCTTCTTGAACACACTATGTAGGTACCTAGTCTTCAAGTCCAGATCCTCCTGTCTTCACCGCTCCCCCCACCCACCCCAAATCCTAGATACCACTATGCCCGTTGTTTGTTGTTTGTTTTGAGAACAGGTCTCAACTGTATTATCCTGGCTGCTCTTAAACTTTTAGATCTTTCTTCCTCAGACTAGAGTAGCTGGAACTACAGGTGTGGGTCACCAATATGCCCTATTTCTAATGCTGTAGGTTTTCTCCTTAAAAGAAATGTTTGTGAAGATGGAAAGCCTTCTGAACTGAGGTGTCTCCCTTTGTTTAGCATCTCAAAAATGATACCCGGTACCATCTGAAACCTGCAACGGCTGATCACTATGACTTTCTTCCTAATGGGATTAAATGAGATTTTTCTTAAATTCAAGTATCTTAGGGAAGAGTACTTATGATAGTAAGGATCTAGAAATGAAGGATGATCCACATGTACCCTTGAGAGATTCTTTACCTATCTTCAGAGATGTGTTCTGCCATCAAAGACTCCTGCACCAGGCAATGCCAAAGCTGCTAGCTTCCCTGACTTGTGATTTGGCTGTCTTTCTTATTCCTCTTCTGTTCCAAGAATTCCAAAAACTAAAAGTATGTTCCCACAAAAAAGTACATTCAACAAAATTTAGGTCATCCCAAGCGGAGCTGAATAATGCACTAATGATGACCCAACTCAAAAAGAAAAGGGACTGCTAGATATTAAACTTCCAGAAAAGGTTCCGAAAATGATTTAAAACATTTTAACAGGAAGCAATCTAATAATTAAATCTTAACACCATGAGAGGAAACCACTAACTTTGTATGTGGTACTCTGACTCCTACACCCAGAAGTGTGAACTTCAGGCAGGAATAATGATACTTCACAAGAGTCAGTGAGCTGGGTGTGGTGGTGTGCACCTGTACCTGTAGGCCCAGCTATTCAGGAGGCAGGACAGGAGGATTACTAGAGTCCAGGAGTTTGAGACCTGCCTGGACAACATGTCTAGACTCTGCCCCCACCCCAAAATACAAGAGCAATATAAAGGCCGCATAAGAACTTTGCACCCCAGCCCACCCCACCCCACATACCACTGATCCATTACTATTTGAAGGCAAAATTATTACCTTTTTGGAGGTATGCATAAAGATTTTGGGGTTTTGTAGATGAGAATATTAAGCTATCTTTGTCTTTTCAAGGTCTAAATTCATTATTTTTAAAGAGTAAAATTGATGCATGGTAAAATACATTTTTCTGAGGAATGTGAAATCTTACCGGAATGAAGACTCCTTCTTCTTCTTTTCCTTGAAAGCACCCATGCTTGGCTTCTTGGAATGGGAAGCCCCGAAATCACAATCTTCAAAGTCTTCATAGCTGTCTCCAGACTTGAAGATGGTCTGACCCCATCGTCTCCTAGCTCCTTTTTGACCCAGTATGCCAACTGGCTTCTATGGGGAAAAATTAGTCACCACAATCTTCAATTTTTAATAATTGCAGAAGCAATTATATCAGACAGTAAGTGTCCCCATTCTCAACCAGGTGTCACTTAACAGACAGGATGCGTTCTGTGAAATGTATCTGTAGGTGATGGTCATCGTTGTGTGGACATCACAGAATGTCCTTAAACAGATCCAGATGCTCTAGTCTACTAATAACTAGGTTGTAGGGTAGAGATTTTTGCTCATATGCAACAGACCTGTTCCACACGTGATTGGACTGAACACCGGCAGTGGGATGGTTAGTACTTGTGCATCTAACTATATCTAAACATAGACAAGGTGCAGTGAAGAGACTGGGATGCCTGTGCCAGGTCAGTGGTAGAGCCCATGTACAAGGCCCTAGGTTCAATCCAGCTGGTCCTGACTTTGGGAAAAAGAAGGAACACAAAAAGAACACTAAAAATATAGTCTAGAAAATTAAAAAACAGTGGTGCACCTACTTAGGGAACTTACCACAAAGGGTTGTTGCAGTACTAGGAGATGTTCTGGGTGAGCAGTTTAGTGAGTGCTGAGTATGAAGCTAGGGCACTACTGTGCCCTCAGCAGAGCTTACAAATACTGGGCAGGAAGGGTACACTGTCTATATATTCTTGGCTTCTGCTTTCATTTTATTTTGAAACACAACTTTTGATCCTCCTGCCTCAGTCCCTCAGTCTACCACATCCTGGGATTATAAGTAAAGACCACCACGCCCAGCTTGTTTCTTATTTGTTTGTAATGCAGGCTGGTTAAGTACTTGTCACAGTTTGTTTCTTCATTGCTGCGACAAAACACTCTGACCACTTCCAACTTTGGAGGAAAGGGTTTATTTAGCTTACATATCCTGGGTCACAGTTCATCCAGGAGCCCAAGGTAGGAACTCAGGGCAGGAACCTGGAGGCAGGAGCTGGAGCACAGGCCATGGAGGAACGCTTACTGGCTTGCTCCCGTGTCCCCTACTCAGCCTGCTTGCTTCTGCAACACAGGCCCACCTGCCCAGGAGTGGTACCACCCACAGTGGGCTGGGCTCTCCCACATCACTCATCAAGAAGATGCCCCTCAGACATGGCCACAGGCCAGTCCAATACAGGAAATTCCCCAATTGAGGCTCCCTCAACCCAGGTGTGTCAAGTTGACACTAAAGCTATCCAGCACAGTACTCTATCTCTGAGTTACAGCTCAGTCCAAGCTATACTACATAAAACATGTGCTTCTTTCTTTCTTAGATTACTGTAACTACTTACTTTATAAACTTTAAACAATTTAAACTTTGTGATTCTTTTGGAGTAACAGCTTAACATACCAACACATGCTGGATGATCACAATTTCTCAGCATCATCAAGTACGTGACACACTATTGACTGAAATGTTATGTGATGCTTGAGCTTGCTTCAGGGAATGATCTATACCCTCATTTAATGTTTTGGTTGTTAGCCTTAGCCTTTAATGACTGGGCTATCCCTGCAGCCCTATACTCTCATTTAAATGATTAACAAGAATAGACAGACTGTGCCAACGATATGATAGGTGTTCAGAGGGAAGAAAGATGCCTGTGAACTTGAACTGAGAGGCATGTATTAGTGTCCTTGAAGTGATAAAATACCCCGAGGAAAGCAGCTTGAAGAGAAGGGGTTTATTTGGCTCACAATTTCAGTACATCACTGTGAGGAGGTCAGGGCAGGAATCTGAAGCAGCTGGTCACATCCACAGTCTAGAGCAGAGAGAATGTCTGCCTGCCTGTGCTCAGCTCACTTTCTCTTCTTTTACAGTCCAGGTCCCAAGCCCAGGGAATGGTGCTCCCCACCCCACTTTGGGCCGGGTCTTCCCACAACAATTACCACAATGATGGTAATTCCCTACAGATATGCCTATAGACCAACCTATTTAGACTGCCCCTCATTGAGGATCTCTTCCCAAGTGATTCTAGATTGTACCAAGTTGATAATTAAAACTAACCATCACAAGGTACTGAAGTTCTGGGTTAGTAGATATAAGATACAGATATAAGAATCCAGAAAACAGAGACTTGGCTGTGAGCCTTACCATCCTGAGGCTTGGCTGTGAGCCTCCTTAAGTGGGGACAGCCTTATGGAGGAGGACACTAAAGTTGGCATGGCCCAATGTCTTTCGTACTTCCCTCTCTAGAATGCAGGTGACACACTTGAAAGAGCACCTGGCATCATCTGGCCAAGGCATGAAAATCACCTGCTGCTGGGTGGCGCTGGAAGACAGAGGCACCCTGGTAAAGCCACCCCTGAAGAGGCAGAGCCAGAAGGCAGAAGCAGTTTTATTCTTTGGGAAGATTCCAGAGTTCTATGGGTTGTCAACCACAGACTTCTTGTTATATGAGGAAAATATCTCCTGTTTTTTAAGTCAATGTTGTCATCACTCTCTAAATACAACTCCAGTGGACAGAGAGGAGAAGAGGGCAGCAATGACTTGAAAATTTTAAGTCTGGTGCTGGCAAGATGGCTCAGTGGGTAAAGGAACTTGATGCCAAGCCTGATGACTTGAATTTGATCCCAGGGACCAAATAGTGGTAGAGAACTGATTCTTGTAGGCTGACCTCTGGCTTCCATGCAAGTCCTCCCCCATAATAGAAAAATGTAATAAACTTAAAAAGTAAGTCTGATTACGTTAGAATAGTGTGCTGGATAGCTTTAGTGTCAACTTGACTCACCTGGGTTGAGGGAGCCTCAACTGGGGAATTGCCTTCATTGGACTGTCCTGTGGCCATGTTCATGGGGCACCTTCTTGATTGTTGTGTGATGTGGGAAGACCCAGCCCACTGTGGGTGGTGCCACCCCTGGGAAGGTGGGTCTGTGCATAAGAAAGCAGGCTGACCAGGGGCCCAGAGAGCAAGCCAGTAAGCAGCGTTCCTCCATGGCTTGTGCTCCAGCTCCTGCCTCCAGGTTCCTGCCCTGAGTTCCTACCTTGGGCTCTCTGATGAACTGTGACCCGGGGGGTTTTAAGACAAATAAACCCTTTCTTCCCAAGTTGGTAGTGGTCAGAGTATTTTGTCACATCATCCATGGCTTGTGCTCCAGCTCCTGCCTCCAGGTTCCTGCCCTGAGTTCCTACCTTGGGCTCTCTGATGAACTGTGACCCGGGGGGTTTTAAGACAAATAAACCCTTTCTTCCCAAGTTGGTAGTGGTCAGAGTATTTTGTCACATCAATGAAGAGACAAACTAGGACAAATAGTGTCATCATTCACACGCATAAGGAACAAGGAAGAAGCTCTGGCTTAGGGCAAACAGTGAGCTGGTTTCCTGGCTTGGGGCACGTGAACTGAAAAGTGCAAGGGCGGCTCCAAATGAGTGATGGAGCTTGGAAGGAAGGCCAGCCACACTGTAGGAAGGATGGTGCTGGAAGAACAGTTTACATCTGCACATGGCTGATGGCATGGCGGTGGGTGGAGGCGGGAATGACACCTACCAACCCTGCTCTGTTGTTTACTTTGTCAGAAAGAAGACCCTCCAAACCAAAGAGAATTAAGAAATCTGAAGCTTTAGATGTGTAGACTTAGTAAAAGGTTACACATAGCTGAGTTTTGCCCTCCTGAAATGCATAAGTTTGGGGGTGAAATTGAATGCTGACCACTGCTGAGTCATGTCAGTAATATGCAGAGTGGTCTGCATGTCTGGGAAGACCAGAACAGGCTACAATTAAGGAATTCTCATAAAATTGAAAGTAAACTTTGCAATCCTTATCAATATGTTTGGTGCTGGATGAAGGAAAAGATTCTAAAATCAATTGTAAGCTTTAAGAAAAAAGAAACTGGTGGATCACGTAAGCCTCCATTTTTCATGAAGATCCAGGACTCCATCAGATGCCATATGAGGCATATATACATGAGAGCCAGTCAAAGTGGGGTCATGATTTTTCATGATGTCCTCATCAATTAAATAATCCAAGGACAATGAAAATGAACCAATACATAATTCAATAATTTGACAGTGATTAATGGATTGATACCAATCTAGAAGGTTCTAGCTGCTGCCCAAGAACATCCTGTTTTTCTGTTTATCATGAAGACACAGGAGAAGAAACTGACAAATGCACAGGTGTCAGGGTTCTTAACCTAAGGACAGAAAGTCAGCATTCAAGAATAAGTAGAAGTTTGGGAAGTAAAGTGAGTTCTTGGAACTCTTTGAACCCTGGGGATCAAATATACAGGTTGAAGTACAGAAATGGTGATCTGCAGAGATACTTATTAGCAAACAGATTCAGACATTTTCATTGATAGAATATTCCATCACCCATCTGGAATGTGTAAGCTATAGAAAAATTTAGGGTTAGGTTATTAGGTACTGTAATTTTGTGAATGCACCCAGGGGCCAAGCACAGTGCACAGCTTTTACGAACTTGATGGCCTTCCAAACAGGGAAGGGATAAGGTCATCCTGAGGAGCAGGAGTGGACCTTCATTTCTGGAAGGTCAGAGGTGATTCAGCCTTTCATATTCCCTGGTTTGTACTGTTTGCCTCTAGTCCAGGCAGCCTCCTTCTGAGCAGTGAGCAGACTGAAGAGGGGGCTTATAGGTTTGTCAGAGAAAGATGCCAGTTGCAGATGTGAGGAAATGGGGATGTTTCACCAAGAAGACATGAAGATGATACCAAGGCTGTTCTAAACCCCTGCCAGGCTGCCTTTCTAGAAGGGTGACTGCACTTCTATCCTATGCTACAGAAAACCATATTTTCTAGTATTCAGAACTGGAAACAGACTCTTTGGAACCCCGAAGGAAAGTATTTATTCATCCTGCAAATATTTATTAAAAAGCTACTACTTAAGGCTGGGTGTGGTGGTGCATGCCTTTGATCCCAGAACTCGGGAGGCAGAGGCAGGCGGATCTCTGTGAGTTCAAGGCCAGCCTGATCTACATAGTGAGTTCCAGGACAGCTGGGGCTACAGGGAGACCCTGTCTCCAAAAGACCAAAAAAAAAAAAATCTATTACTAGGTAAGCACTTTCTAGATTCTGGAGTTGTACTGATAAGCAAAACAGACATTTCTGATGTCACTGAGCTTGCATTCCAGGGGAAAAAAAAGCAAGAATAAAAAATATAAGAAACAGAAATCAATAGTATATCGGGAGACAGGGAAACTCACATTAAGGTGGTGGGCATGGCAGGATGGACCAGGAATTAAATACAATGTTTTAGAAGATCTCTTTTCATTGCCTGTGGTAGTGGCAGCTCATGCCTCTAATCCCAGCACTTGGGAGGTGAAGGCAGGAGGATACCTTTGAGTACCAGGCTAGCCTGGTTCTTCATAGCAAGTTCCAGAACAGCCAGGGCTAGATGAGACCCTGCCTCAAAAAATAAAAAAACCTCTTTCCATCTTACAGTGCCACGTAAACACATTTGGAAGTATACACTTGAAAGAACAGCCAAAATCACGACACCTGATGAGTTTCCAGAACTGAACAGAAGTGTGGAAAGAGAAAGTCTTATGCTTTATAAAGCCCCCAATCAATCAGCTGGCTGTGGTGCACGCCTTTAATTCCAGCACTGGGGAGGCAGAGGCAGGTGGATCTCTGTGAGTTTATGGCCAGCCTGGTCTACATAGTAAGTTCCAGGACAGCTGGGGCTACAGGGAAACCCTGTCTCAAAAAGACCAAAAAAAATAAAGAGATAAAAAGCCCCCCAATCTGTTCATGTTGATTAATGGTCAAAAATAGTTAGAATTATGTATTACAAGTCTGTCTCAAAAGAACTTAGGAACTAAATTTCAAATACCTCACCATAAGAAATAAAGACATAAGCTCTTCGTGGTGGCTCACACCTTTAATCCCAGCACTCGGGAGGCAGAGGCAGGTGGATCTCTGTGAGTTCAAGGCCAGCCTGGTCTACATAGTTCTAGGACAGCTGGGGCTACAGGGAGACCCTGTCTCAAAAAGACCAAAAAAAAAAAGAAAGAAAAGAAAAAAGAAAGATTTAGGATTGGTACTCTTCTCTTGAGTATACAATTCTTTCATAAAGGAAACCTACAGCTTAACTCACTTTGGAAGTTTCTTTTCCACATCCTAGAATGTTACCTCATTTCTTGCCTAGCTCCCCAACACTAAACTTGGCTTGAGTCACCTCTCAGGTCTTCTGCTTACCGTTTGCGCATTTTTGATGATACTTGGAAGCACTGTGTGTGGCGGTTTCTGGTGACCCTGCTGCTTTGGAGGTGGCTGCACCATCATGTTCTGTGGCGGATGAATGGTCTGCAGTGGTTGGTGGCCTTGGTTCAGCTGGAGCTGTCCAACAGGCTGATCCAGTATGTCTGGCAAAGGCTTAGGATCTGGTTCAGCTAAAGATGGCTTTGGTTCCAATGGTTGCAGCTGTCTATTTAAAGTCTGTTTTGAGTCTAGATGGTGTGAGGAAGGGCCTAATACCTGACCAACTTGAAAATATGGGTGCTTCAGTGCCTGTAAAAGCAAGAAAATACACTACATCAACACTGGGCTAATCCAAATGTTTCCTAATTAATTGAGTGCATCTCGGTTTGGGACATACCACTCACCATTAAAATGATGTTTTTGCCAGGGGTTCTGGACACTGAGCCTGTGGCTTCATACATGGTAGTCAGGAACTCTACAGTAATGGGGGCCAAGGAAGAAGGACCCCTGCAGGAAATACCAGACTGGGCAATGCTGGGTGCCCCAAGGCCAGGCACCTTCCCAGGACAGTCAACCTCCCAGCTCCCTAACAGGGCTCAGCTAAATCCACATATGCGTATTTCCTGGCTTTGGTTTCATATTTTTTAAAAAGTTGATAAGTTGTAATGTTGCAGTGTGACTACATTGAGAATTTCTCTCTAGTGAAAATGTACATAAACAAATGTTTTCTCTTCCTTCCTTTCTCCCTCCTCCCCCAACTTTCCCCCTTCCTCTCTCTGCCCTCCTCTCTCTCCCCCTTCTTTCTCTCCCCCTCCCCTTTCTTCTCTCTCCTTTGCTCTCTTTTACACACAACATTCTAATCAGCAATCCCTCAATCTTCTGAGTTTTCTCTATGATTTCTTCTATTACTTTTCTCTCCATGTTTTTTGTGCCATAAGATCAAATATTTACACATGCTTCTGGTTAGCTTTCAGGGGTTTAATTTTGACACCGTTTATGCAGGAGCTCCTCCTCCTGTGGGACTGAGTTCTCTTCCTGCCAGTGCTCACACTGTCTGGCTATCATCTCACAGGGCATTTTGCCATCTGATAAGGCAACTGTCTACCCTACCTCTGCTCTCTAGTTAGTTGTTCATGTTCAAACATGTCTCAACTATCAATCTTTCCTGTTTGTTTTCATAGATGACCTTTGGGAAACACTTCTGTAAGCTAAATTAAAAAAAAAAAAAAGCGGGGGTGGGGAGGCGATTTTCACATGAATGAGAAGAACACTACAGGACTGTCACTGGTCTAGTTAAGACTTTGGTAGATAAAGGGATGGTATTTTAAAGACCTGGAGTCAGGAAGGAACAAAGAGTGGGTATCACAATGCTGTGCTCTTGTGGAGCCAGAGGTTGGACTCTGTCCCACAGAGGGACAATTTATTGATACACACAGTGAACAAAAATCTCTTCCCTGAGGCTGCAGAAATGACTTAGGGGCTCAGCAAATTAAAAAGTTAAGAGTACATGCTGCTCTTGCAGAGGACCCGAGTTTGGTTCCCAGCATCCATAATCAGAGGTTCACAGTCACTTGGAACTCTAGCTCCAGGGACTCTGCCACCTTTTTTTTTTTTTTTTTTTTTTTTTACTTCTGCAGGCACCTGCACTCATGTGCATGCGCACGTACATGTGTGTGCATGCACACACAAACACAATAAAAATATTAAAAATTAAATTAAAAAGAATCCCACCCCTCAACCAGAGAGCCCAGAGAAGTCCTCTGTATGCCATCAAGGACAAGTGTCTTCCTAAGGAATCTCTCACATTTGGAATTATCATTAGAGACTGATTCCTTTTAGTCTCGTTGGGGCCACAAGATGTAATCATTACAGTGGCTACTTTTGCAGTTCTTGCAAAGATCTTATATGCCTAGACATTGATCCATTGTATGCAATGGATGTCTTGAGGTTTGGGAGCTTAATTATCTTGGTAAAAGCTTGGTTGAGAACAGACTTGTCTTTGTAGATAAAACATCTCCGAAATGGCCAAACCTCAAAAAATTTAAAGCTATACATGAGATTGCCCTCTCACCTGGCTTGCAGTTGGCCTTTTCTTTGGATCCCAGCTCAACATTTCTGTCATAAGTTGAATAGCCTCATTACTGGCATTGGGAATAAGAGTTTTTAAGTTTATAGGAACACACTGGGGGAAGTGGAAGTTCATGGAGGATGCAAGTTGGTATCCTTCCGGCCAGTCATTCTGTTTAAAGGTAAGTGTGGGCAGGGGAAGCAAAAAGAAATTTTATTTTAGTGGTCAATAAAATATAAAAACACAGTAATGATCTAGAACTCATTCAAGTGGGAAAACTTTAATGTTGAGTCATACAATGAAACGTGAAATAAAATATCAGGCTTGACATATAGAAAAGAACCTTGAACTGAGAGTCAGGTAGGGGACAAGAAAGCGCATTTATGAATTTCAAAATATCAAACTCTTTTTGGTTTTACCTTGATGACAACTTGGTAACTATGAATAAATAAAAACAGGTGCTTTACAAAGAGGCTGAATCCTACCAAGGTCCTTCTCATATACTGTACAGCAAGACCAATGTGAAAAATATTTGTAGCTGATAAGTGATAATTATGTTACATTTTGATATCTACATTTACTTGTCAACTGTAAGTCCAATGCTGATTTAATTTAATGTAATTATACGGTTATACTTATTATTTACATCTTAGAATGTAGGGTCTATCTTGAAGGTGTTATTAAATGTACTCAGATTTCAGGAAACCAAATAGCATAGCAAATATATATATCAAGGGAAAACGGGAAAGGGCTGAGAGACAATAAGGTCCAGGGTCCGAGGGTCAATGAACAGATGGCAGTGGGCATTCACACAGCAAGCAGCAGTCTCAGCAAAGCTATCTTGGGAGTCATGGGCATCAGCCCAAAGCAACACTCTAGACAGACGCTTAAGCTCTTAAGGAGAGGCAAGTACATTTTTATCCCTTCATTCTACGGAACTCTGGATTGTTACAATCCTTATTCCTCTTTAATAAACAAAATCAAGTTCATAATAAAGCAATTAAATTATAAAGCTATTTAAAACTGAAAACACCAGACACCTAGGCTAAAGTTGGAAATTATCATAAGTTATAAGACAAAATTGCAAGTGAAGTAAAGGTCATGGCAACTTAGACTAGAGTACTTACTTTCTTAGGAGTCCCTAAAACTTGGCAGATTTTAAAGATTTCATCAACTTCACTTGTCCCTGGGAAAAGCGGTCTTAATGTGTACAGCTCAGCCATTATACTCCCCACGGCCCACACATCAATGGGAGAACTGTACACTGAAGACCTCAGTAAAACTTCAGGAGCACGATACCTGTGTGAAGACAGAAAGCAGTATGGAAAGGGCTGACTTGGGTGAAGCTTCCCAGGTAGATGGACAGGACTCTACTGTTTGGTCCCATGCTTCCAACAAGGGAAAAGTATGACATGTGGTCTGTCTCAGGCACTCTGAACACAACACATTTCTAGTTACAAATGCAGAGGAAACGCCCATGTAGCCTGAGGTAGGACTGAAAATGGATCATCAAGGATTAAGTTCTCTCTGAGACATTCAGAAAGAAGCATGGTTGAGACCTTCAGGCCTAGCACACATTGATTATCCTTCAGTAGTGAATTTTTTTTCCTTCTTGTCATCAATTTGAAAGTGTTTGTAGTATCAATCTTCCTCCCTCTGTAGGCAAGAATATTTTTAATCAAGAAAAAGATTTACAATAGCAAAGGTACCTAGTAAGCCCCTATAATGTCCTCCCCACCCATCACTGGTCTCCTGATTCTGGCCTGCTTCATTTAACATGATGCTCTCCAAATTCACTCATTTTCCCCAAAGTGACATAATTTCATTCTCTTTTACAGATGAATACAGCTTCTACTGTATATATGTAGTTTCTTTCTCCATTCATCTCTCAATGGAGATCTAGAATGGTGGCTCTGCACTAATCTTTCCTTTTTTTCAGATTTTGTATTTTATTTTTTCTACTGAATTTTTGTGTATTTCATACACAACATCTTAATCATCTTTATACCCACTTCCATTGGCACCTCCCACATCCCTTCCACTGGATTTCGTACATTCTGTCATTTATGTTAAGGTCTATGAAGTCAAGTTAGTGTCCTCTGACGTCCCTCGGTACAAGTTCATGCACTGGGGTCTAGTCAGCCTATCTAGTCACTCCCTTAAAGAAGATCAGCTCTTCCTCACCCAGTAGTAATCACCTGTCCAATAGTTCTTCAGCTAATATTGGGGCCTGTTGCTCATTATCCCAGTTCTATGCTGGGTTTTTGTCTGCTTGAGTTTCATGGGTCTTGTGCATGCTGTCGCCATTGCTGTAAGTTCATTTGAGCAAGGTCCCAGGAGTCTGTAAGACTCTATTTCCATATGGTCATGCACCTCCTCCCCTGGCTCTTACAGTCTTTCTGCCCCTTCTTCTACAATGGTCCCTGAGGCCTGGGTTCATTGCCCTCTGTGGCATGAGGGAGCTTCATTGATAAGAGTTGAGAGATGCATTAATATTCTCCCCAACCCCCCACGTTTTACTCTGTTCCATGAGTCTTAGGTGTAGAGATTAAATTGTAGATGTGTCACTTAGTGTTGGGCATTTCACAGACAATCTCTGGGTCTGTTGCAAAAGAAGCTTCTTTGATGAGTGGTGAATAACATACTTGTCTGCAAATATAAGGATCCATATTTAGCACATAGTAAGAAATTACATTTGTCAAGGGCTGTGGCAGCCTTGGAGTTTTCTCTAAGATCTATGACCTCTCCAGTCATGTGAATTTGACTATGTTTACAGTACCACACATGAGTTCGCTCAATTGGGTGGGCTTTAGGTTCAGTTAGGTAGCTATCAATTACCCTCAAGATAAAAGTGCCACTACTGCCCCAATAGAGTTTGCTATGCTGGTCATTGTTGTGGTTATTAGGGCTTAAAGCTGGATTGGACCATCAATTGATTTTCTCCCTTAGCAGCTTGCATAGTGTTCTCCAAAACTATGAGAGGTAGTCTTCAGGGAGGTTAGTTCCAGCTCCAGGTCAGTTCCAGCTCCACTGCTCCAAGTCCTGTGTTCGAAATATGTCTTGACTTCAACGATAGGGTCTCACCTAGAAGTCTGGGAGGCTAATCAAGGACTGTGGCAATAACCTATGTAATTTTGGGAGTCTCTTGGACCATCCTGGCCAACAACTGGAAGGGAGGTTCCTCCTGTCTGGCACTGTTTCTTGTTATATAGCCTTCAGCTACACACATGGACTCACGTAGAAATACTGTTATGTGTAATTTTTAAGTAGTTTTTTTTTTTCTTTTTTTCAGTAGGTTTTTGAACTAATACATTTCCCTCTAGTTTTTTATACCAGCTAGAAATAATTTAATCTCTCCTCTCTCCTTAACTCCCTCCTCCCTCCCCAGTTAAAGTACCCCCAATCCCCCCTTGATAATACCTGTCTCCTATGGTCTTCCTCTCTCTTGAGCTCTTTCTTCTCCTTTACCCCATAGTTCCTTGTATAACTCTCCCTCCCCACCGCCCATTTAAATACCCCCTTTTATGCATTTCCCCCTTGGTGACATCTGTCTCCTGTTCTCTCTCAGGCTCCTTCTTTCCCTTTACCTCCCTGGTTCCTTTCCATTTTCTTTTTTAAAAAATATTTTATTATTATATTTTTTATGTGTATGAGCATATTGCCTGCATATATGTAAGTGCACCTGTGTTGTGCAATGCCCACGGAGGTCAGAAGAGGGTATCAGATCCTCTGGAACTGGAGTTATGGATAGTATTGTTTAGCTGCCATGTGGGTGCTGGGAATTGAACCCCAGTCCTCTGCAACAGCAGCCAGTGGTCTCAACCACTGAGCCATCTCTCCAGCCCCTCCTTTCCATTTTTCTGGCTCCTAAAGTTATGTCAGGAAATGTATTCACATACAGGATTTGGTGCTAGGATCCACAAATGAGGGAGAACATGTATTATTTGCTTTTCTGAGACAGTGTTGCTTCACTTGGTATAACAGTTTCTAGTTCCATCCATTTACCTTCAAGTTTCATGATTTCATTGTTCTTTACCATTGAGTAGAATGCCATTGTGTACCAGAAATGTACCACATTTTCATTATCCACTCATCAGTTGAGAGACACTTAGGTTGCTTCCATTTCTTAGCTATTGTGAAAAGAGCAGCAACAAACAGGTTGTACAAGTATCTCTGAAGTAGAATCAGTCCTTTGGGTTTATGGCAATGAGTGGTATAACAGGCCATATGGTAGGTTCATTTTTAGTTTTTTTAAGAGTTTGCCACACTGCTTTCTATAGTTTTTGCATGAATTTGCAATGCTAATAGCAAGGAATGAACGTTGCCCTTTCCCCACATTCACCCCAGCATTTGGTATCATTTGTTCTCTTGATCTTAGCCAATCTGACTTAGCCATCTGACCGGGGTAAAATGAAATCTTAAAGAGATTTTAATTTATATTTCCTTAATTACTAATGATGTTGAACACTTTTTAAGGTGTTTCTTAGCCATTTTTATTTCTTCTTTTGAGTTTTC